ACAGAATTCTCGAACATTGGCTCGAACATGCAGCGCGACTCGAATATTTTCGACTCGTTCACGCTTTAGTGACTTTGAGTCACGTGGTTATACCCAGGCTCTATCGTCCAACGCGCACGTAGTTTCATACAAACAAAATATGACTGTAAACAAGTTCCCATTTAAATCCATACTTTACCATTTTAATCCGTACTTCAGAAAATGATGAGTTTTGAGTGTGTCAACACACATTTGAACCAATCATAATAGAGTATTTCAATGGATCAAAATTACTGCGGGTCAAAACACGCGGATCATCCAATCAAAGTGTCCATAGGTTATTTGATACCTTGGTAGTGCGGGATAAACACGCACATGAACCAATCACACATAACCAGTGCGGGCTAACACGCTAAATAACCAATGAAATCGTTTTTCGATCCCAGCTCTAGCATACTGAACATATGTAACAACTTTGTGAATTTAACAACATAAAAATTGAAATATTTCAAGTCTTGACTGAACTCAAGCGGGAGTATATAAATGTCCTAAGACTGGTCATAGTCTACTAACTATGGCTGGTTCACACGCTCAGGGCCATTAAGGCATGGCTTTTGGAAAAAATATGAAATATTGCATCGATTTGTTGTAGAAAATCGGTATTTGAATAAAATCTTATAATACTCCACCAGTATCCGTATTTTGGTTAATGGAATTTTTTTAGCAGTTATTGTTGCCATAGAAACCAAACCACGTGACCCCAGAGCCGCCATCTTGGATTTCTTCTTTGAAGCTCTTGGAGACAATCACAAACCGTATAAAATGGTATAAAAATGCATATTTGAATACTCCTAAGAGTATTCTATATAGATCTAATTGGATATTTGGGTTACGACTTGGAATAAATTTTCCTATATTTTTTTTTGTCATTTTTTGAAAATTCTTTGTAAAATTTCAATATGTCTTTAAGACTATTCCTTGTTTTCCAATTAGATCAATATAAAGTACGCAAATACCTGTTTGAACGTGCATTTTTATGTGATTTGATACTGCCTGTGATGGTCTCCATGAAGCTCAAAGTAAAAATCCAAGATGGCGACCTGAGGTCACGTGATTTGGTTTCTATGGCAACAAAAACTGCTAAAATAACTTCGTTTGTCAAAATACTGATGTTGGCCAAGTATGAACATATTTTATTCAAATGGCGATTTTATACAATAAATTCWTGTAGTATTTCATATTTTTCTGTGAGCCATGCCTTAAAGGCACTGAGCGATCGAGGAACTTCTTTTCCCGATCGTACGCGATCATGAGGAAATCGCGATCGGAGAGTTAGAACCTCTAATGGTTTGATTCCATATGATCGAAAACGAGCGAGAAACTTTTTCGATTATATGCAAACCAGATTTTATCTTCTTTTGTTAAGAATAATCAGCCGTGCGGGATAAACGCGCATAGTTTACAATCAAAGTTGAGAACATGCGTGCTATCCCGCAAACCAGCGGATGACCTCGCTTCACTCATTGCTCTTGACATCGCTCATTAGATTTGTCTACCGTCAGTATCTTTTTTTCGGACTTTTTGGCATGAAACCGTAAATACGAAGACATTTCTCGAAGAGAACAAGCGAAAATTCCAAAAATTGACAACGTTTAATAAATAATTAAGAATTAAGGGGGGACTAAGGGCATCGCTCGGGATTACCCTTCATCCACTCGATATTATGATGTTTAGATATTTCGACAATTCTCATAA